CGCGGCGCGGGGAGAAGCCGGGATAAGGGTAGGCTGGCGTGGCGGGTAACGTCAGTGAGCAACGAGCTCTCGTCGCGTAAACATCGTCTCGTTATCGGTGTGTCGAAAACGCTCGTACCACGTGGTTGTTCGACGCGTCACGTCGCGTAACTTTCTCCAAACCGGTTTCCGTTGGCGAAAATAAAGCTGTTTCGTCGCTGGTTCTCGTGGCCGAAAGAAAATCGCGAACAGGTGCATCGGTTGTGCGGACGAATCCGTAAAAAAAAGAAGGGATCGCGTGTTCGCGTGACCCGAGATAAATCGGGTCGAAGGTTATTGAAATTCAAATTCAGCCGAATTACAGCGGATCATTCTTCGGCTCCTTTTGTCATCGTCTCTTTTTGCCGCACGTAAGTTCCAGCTACTTAATTCCATCTTTTCTTGTATCGTACGGTCACCTCGCGTCTCGCTGTATCGGCTCCGAAAGACGAAAACATCGATCTGTTAATGTTCAAGCTTTCTCTTTTCGTCGTACAGTTCGGTAGCACGACAACAAACGCGATAACGCTTATCTCTCGATACGAGTGAAAATTGTACGTGTCTGGTTGCGTGCTCCTGGCGTCGAAGCGTTTCGCTACGCGATACTTTCGATTTAATCGAGATCGATATCGTTTACCTATCTTTTCGTACTTTTAGCGTTTTACATAGTTAGTCACCTTTGAAACCGTAATTATCTTTTTCGATTACGATATTTTTTCGTTTCGTTTCATTTTCGCTCGAAAACTTTTGCTCCGGTAAACCTCCGAAAATCTATCCACTCGTAATTTTCTGAATACGCTAATTATGCTTTTCCAACTTTAGGAAAATAATGTAATCGTTTTGTTAAAAAGAGCACGCGCGCACGTATACTGTTCCCGTGTTTCCTATCGGCATGTAGCCGAAATAAAGAATAACTAAGTTTGAGAAACTGTTGATAAACTTTCGTAGCGTCGAAACTGGCACTGAAACCGACAGAGAGCTTTGTTGCGTAATGACGGTAATTGTACCGTGTTTGCGCGTCCTGATAAGACGCGCGCTCGGATGTTGTTCGAGCAGGAACATGAAATTCCCACGTTATTGCGTTTCATCGTAATTTTCTCGAAGACAGGATAACAGAGATTTACGATTTAACGAAAGCTCTTCTCGTTCCGTGAGACTGGAAAAGTATTTTGTCATTGAATCGTAGGTTGCTCGTAAATCGTCGAATTCGCGCCGCGCCACGCTACGCCACGGCGAGAACTTTTTCAGTAGGTTCGTGTAAACGATGAAATTAGTAGGCTAGACACAGGTAGGGTGATTTACGTTACTTTTTCAACTTCGTGCCGAGAATGTTCGCAGTTTTCAGTCGGCGAACTTTACTCGCCATTTTTTTCCCTCTTATATGTTTATAGTTTGTACCGATAATTGTTTTCGCTATCTCTTCGGGTGTTTATGAATCGATGCGCGTCGCGATGCTTATTTTCTAAGCGACTCGTAGAACAATTACGGTTTATCGGCATTACTCAGCATCGAAAGGTATAATTTTGTAGCGGTTAAAATTCGGTAAAAACGCTGTGTTTCCGTTTTGTTCGTTCGTTCGTTCGCGTTCTAACCATTAACAGGACGGTGTAAGAATTCCATTTTGTCGGTGGATTACGTTTGCATGGTAGGACGTTGCGAATAACCTCGTCATTTGCACAGAGTCACGTACGTATACTTACTCGTTGCATAACGATGCTTGATTAAACGATAGACGCATCGTCGAACGGATTCGTGAAAGTCACGACGCATTTTTATGCATCGAACGCTCGCGTACCTATGGAAGACGTTTGATACGTCGAATCGAGGAAAACGGGATGTAAAGGTCGTACGCTCCGAGTTTAGCGTTGTTCGAACGATAGTCAACAGTGTTTGGCTCGCGATCGCGCGTCCAGTTATTCGAAAATACTCCGCTGTAGGTTCGTCCGATTCGAAACAAGGCCGAAAGATTCGCTTCTCGCCGTCGAACAAGTTTCTTGATATATTAAATTAGTCAGAGTGCGCGACAAAACACGAAGAACACGCGTGATCGGAGAATCGTGTTATCGAGTAAATACTAAAGTACCGAGAAAATTTTCGTTCGTAAATCGATGATCGTCGACTACGTACTCGTGAAAATTTGAAGTAATCGCAAAATGTTTTTGTTCTTAGATCGATACTCGTGGAACGTTAACGAAAATAAAAGTACCGAACAAGTATCGTTGACCGAGATTCTGATTCCCGAATATTCGCGATCGTCGCAGACTCACCAGCAGTCGCGTGCACGGAACTACGCGAACGGGTGAGTCGATTTTTGTCTCGAAACGTTTATTTTCTTGTTTCGATTAAATTCGTATGTTCGCCGCAACTCGTAACTCGTTAATTATTTTGTACACGGTCTAAAGCGCGTATTCATCTTCGTCGATTCATCGAATCGAAACGATCGTTTCGACTTCGTTTCGTCGTATATGTATATGTACTTTTATCGGTCGAACGTCCAACTGCGCATCGCGAACAGCCGTCAGTTATTAGTCGCGTTAATTACTCGCAATTAACGAGTTTCAAGTACAGTCAGCGAGTTAAGATCCTTCGAGTACTCTTCTCCAGTTTTTATGCGATACTTTTTCTTTTCTGTCCGCGTGCCGTTTTCTAAATAACGCAACCGATTATCCGATTAAAATAAGTCAAGTTGCTTAATAACTTATTTCCTTTATCGACTTCTATCTCTCTCGATGCTTTCGCGTTAAATACCTTTTATCGAGCAAGGTGTAACCGCGAAGTTAAGATTTTATCTACATTCAATTGCTGTTCCTTTATCGAACTTTTTGTCGCAACAGCTTGTTGTTCAGGTGCATCTGCATGTCGTCGATGTTGGCCCAATAGGCGAGTAATTTTATTGTCATCGCAATTTTGTCGCCGTTACACGCTGCCGACGCTCTCGACAGCTTCCCTCTTTCTCCCTCTTTTCTCTCGCGTTTCCTTTAATCTCGTACCACCTGTCTTCCACCTAAACGCCACGCGTATCGTCTTTATTATCGCAATATCGGGAAATTTCTTTTGGGCCGACGATAATCGAACGCTCGGATCGGAGTAAAATTTTTATCGACGCCCCCAAAGTCGTCGGCCTGGTTCTTTGGCTCCTCTAGAATCTGTTAATTCTGCAGATCGCGCGACATATTTTCGCCGCTAGGACGCGTTTCGTTGTAAGCTCCCCTCTTATTTCGAATAGTCGCGGCGAACTTTGGAAATGTTCGAAATTTCCCGTTTACCGTTTAGATCCGATACTTAATAATTTTGCTAGGTTAATCCATTAAATCGTCTTTATTCGATCGAATTTATTTCTCTATTTCGACGAGTCCATAAATGGTTCGGAAGAGCCACAGGAGGCTATTGAATTCCCATTGCACGCGTCTAGCGTGTTCTTCTTAATATCGCGGTGGTGGGTGGACGGGATAAAGGGCAATCAAGAGGATACCAGCGCGAAAGTGAGATATATTGCTGCTGTCTTACGCGTAATCGGGACGCGAATACGTGTGTCGCTAATGCGATCGTGTAGAAACGGTCATAAAGTTAGCGGACAACATTTTTTACGCTTAACTGCCGGATACTTGGCAATTGATCGAAGAATTGGTTGCAGTTGTTTCTCCTAACCGTGATTCGAGCAGTTTTTAAATCGATTCGGTTAATCCATTGATTCGTTACTTATTGTCCAAGTAAGAAAGATCGCTCGTTGGTTAAAATTAATGAGGTCTTTTCGCACGAGAAAGAATTCCCTTATAAAATTGAAGAAATATCGCACAAAAGGCGTCGAAACTGCTCGGTGATCGAAGTCGGCGCTATTCTCCTTATCGGACCGAGCTGGACAGTTTAATTTTTCCTTCTTATTCAGGCTCTCGAGGTTGGTGTATTTTGGCGTTACTTCGCGTATTCTCGAGGCTGTTCATCCCGATATTGAAAAACTTGGCCGAATAAATGAAGTTGGAATCTCGCGGAACAAGAATTCTTCCGTCAAATTGCGAGCGAGGAGAGAGTTTCTTTTCACCGAGTTCGACCATTCTTTCTCCCTTTTTCCATTCTAGGCGATTCCTTCGAATACTTTGGACCCGTAACGATCCCGCGTGCGCTTTGCTTTCGCCGCGTCGCGTCTAGTCGTTTTTAGTCGGTCTTAGTCGCTTTTAGTCGCGAACGCGTCGAGAGAACAGAAAAGTATGGATGAAGGAAACGCGTTTCCCGTTCGCGAATTAATTGCGAAACGCGTCTGTCGAGCAGCTTGCTCTCGTCGACACCGAGTAAGGTGTCGTTCTCTAGCAAGATAATCGCATCGTGTTCAGGAAGGAAAATTGCTAGAAAAATATTTCAATCCGCGATCATTTTTTATTACAATTAGCTAAAATGTATGTCTGTCCTTTGTTTCGGTTATAAAAGAAAAGAGCAACGCAACGTTGATTTAATCTCCCTCCATTCGTTTCTTTGACTCGCTAATACGTTACAGGTCGCTTTTTAATTCCTCTATCGCGCTCGGTTTTCTCTATCTCCATATGATCCGTAATTTATTAGTCGGTTTAATAAAATACAGAGGTAGGAAGTCGAGAAGGGATGGTATTTGTCTCGTTCGCCTTGCGCGTTTCCCGTTTCGTATCGCAGGCGCGAGTTGTACGTGGTTTCCATGCACAAGTGCCGTTAACGGGCCCATATCGCGTACGCTTGGACAAGATAAAGAGTAATCAGCGAAACGAGCCTTTTCTGCTCGTATTCGTTTTCGTACCACATTATTACGTTGTACGTATCGCTTACCGTGCGTTCTATCGCCACGTGTTTCGGCCGTTCGAAATTCGATTCCGAGACGAACAAATCGTTCGCGAGAAGAAACGGAAAGGAAAGGAAAGGAATTCTCCCGCGAGGGATACTCAGTTATCTTATCGAGCACAAAAGAGATGTTCGCGTTAACGCGGGCCGATGTCGAGATCGGCATCGTGCGAAATAAAATTGTGCGTGAACGTCGATCGATCGAAAGCGAAACATTTTATCGGAGGCGTTTTATCAGTCGCTTGGTCGCGCAAGAAACTCGTTACCTTTTTCTCGATTACCTTTCACTTGGTCGGAAAATCTTGTTCGCCTACCTATCGAAACTGTCGCGAGAAGCTGTAACCTCGTTACCACCGGTTACTCGGTCAACGGAAAGAAGGAAAAATCGTTTCGGCAGACGACGAACGTATAATAAATATTCGTCCCTTGTTCCGGGTAAAGATGTTGTCAACATGCTCGTATATCGCTCAGAAGCGATAAAATGTCTTGAAAAGTATACGTTCTTCGGGGAATTATCTTCGACTCGTGCAAATTTGCTCATCGTCTATTCAGCTTGGGTCGAATCGTTGAACGTGCAGTCAGATTTTATTCTCCACGAATTTGTTTAGGAGGCAGTCTTGTTTGATCGTGAAATCTCTTTGCTTCTCTTTGACGAAGATGTTCGATAATTTCGATAAAGCTTCGGCGCAACCGAGTATCGTCGGGTAAATGCATACGTATTTACTTTTACGCGCTCGTGAACACGGTGTCGTTTAATTAATTCCGAGTACGGCCTTAAAATTTCATTCCCATAGTGTATAGGGGGGTTGCGTGTTACCGAGCCGGTCGTAAATCTCTTTCGCGTGCTCCGCTATTTGTAATGCGAATTTTAATGGAAAGTAATTAAGAGGTAGTCGTTAACGTTCTTCCCGATTCGAAACTCTTCGGTTTTCGATTTTTTCGAACCGTCTCTTATAACCGCGCTAGATCCTTGCGTTCTCTTGTAAATATTCGCCGTACAAACGATCGTATTTTTATTTCGACAAATATTTTCGATACCACGATATTTTTGTCCTCTTCTAGATAGATAGAAGAAGCGGAATAGATTTATTCGAGTTCGTTGGCCCGATGCTCGGTTTTTGAAAGCGATCGGCCAGCTGGATGCCGAGTAAATAAACCGCCATACGTTTCCTTGACACCACCCCCTGTGAAACGTTATTAGCGACGGCGAATTTGAAAGTCGTCGATATTCCGTCGTTTCACTAACTCCCGACTCCCTTTTCCGGACTAATGAAAGTCAAATTATCCGCGGAACCCCGATCCTTTCTTGCCAAAATGTTTACGGCTTCCTTGGAACAATGAATTTTTATCGACTCCTCGCGAGAAGGACGTTGCAACGAGTTGACTGCCGTTGTCTATTTCTTTTTTTTTTTTCTTCCTCTTCTTCTTCTACTTCTTCTTCTTGGCCATTTAAATTCGAGCGACTCTAGAAAACTCGTACGTACGTATACGTCGTAACGCGTAAAGGCGAGACACAAATTTTTATTGGCAAATTGTTATTAGAAGAATGATAGGATTAAACGAACAGACTTCGTTGAATCGTAGGAAGGATCGATCGCGTTACCGATGGTTCGTTTCGCGAGAATGACTAATTGAATTGGCGCTCTTTCAACCTATACTACGAGCAGAGCGCGAGCCGTAAAACACGCGATTAAACGTGGATTCATTCGAAGCTGGACCGAGAGATGATAAATCGGACGAATAAATTCGGCCACAGCATTCTTCGTAGTTGGTTACCGCCACTACTAGTTTGGTAACATCGCGCTCCGCACGCGGTATTTCGTTTCGAGCGACGAAAGGAATTTCACGGTTATTCGCGTGATCGAGCGAAGAGTCGTTGACAAGAAATTGCGCCGATTAATAAACCGCGACCCTTCGTCTCTTCGTATTCCCTCGCTTGGCTTTCCTTTAGACTTTCCTAAAGTTTTCTACAACGTTTAATACGAGCAGAAAGACTTTTGTAGTCGGTTGCTCGCTCGCGATTACTGTGTCGTTGATCACGATGAGCCGGAATTAAATTCTTAGAAAGGACGTGTGCGCACGGTCGCCGAGTCGTGGGTGTTGCGGCTTTTCCTGGGAACATCGGTTACTGGATTTCGCTCGTTTGTTCGATACTATTTCGACCGAGATATCTGTTGAAACGTTAAGCCCTCGAGTATTAAATGTCGTTTTTAAATCATTTTTAATCCGGTTGCAGCGACGCGTCTGCTAGAAATGAACTTTTCATCGTTTTATTCGATTTCTTCGGTTCGTTCTTTCCCTCGTTATCGTACGTATCGTTTCAGAGCGAACGTTTTGCGTTGGCAAGGTGAATCGGTATTAAAAAATATTGCCAAATTTATACGACAGTTGTTTAATTGTTCGCGACGATGACTCGCGAAAAAGAACCGGTGGCGTATACTTGTAGTCGAAAAATCGGGGTCGAAAAATTGGACAATCGATACGATTCGTGAAAGGGGGTCATTTTCGGCGTAGCCACGAAATCGAGTCGACACCGATGACAATGCGCGCGAGAAAGAGAAAGGACACTCGATGATAACGTTTGATTAATCAGAAATTAATAGGGCACAAATAACGCGGTAAATTTACAGGCAAATATTTTCACCGGTGATTAATATTCGCTCGCGCGAAAAGGTGGGTATGCATAACATGGCTGTTTGCACGGCTCGTTTGCCTCATTTTTCTTTCGATGATTTCGATATTGCAGTATATCGCAATAATCTTTAACGTTTAATATTATTATCGTTTTTACGTATCGTTTCCTTAACGGCAAACTTAGGTAAACTGAAACGGACGTCGCGATACTTATAAACGAATATTTATGAGCTGACGTAGCAAAAGTGTAATCGTTATCGCTTGACGTTTAATCGTATTTCTTTGTGGTTCGCGACTAAGGACGCGGATAATCTTCCTTCGAGCACCATTCTTCGCCCATAAAAACCTTGATAAACGGATTTCGGTTAGTTGGTTGTCGACCTACGTCCTATGCGACACTATATTATATTTCTTCGCCGCTATATTTCTAATTGAATCGGCAATTTTAAATTTCACATGTACAGTAGCTAACACGGTTGTTGAGATTTTAACAGTGTCAGATTTAATAGTCTGAATTGAAAAATTCACCGATCGCGTTCTCTCCGATTACACGCGTTTAATTTCACCGTGGCAGTTAACGCGTTAAAACGAACGCGCGATAGATTCTCATGATTTAATCGATCTCATAAATAGTAGATCTTTAGGTTAGAATTTATTACGAGGAACGAGAGAAAAAATTGTCTTTTTATCGGCATTTTTGGTGGGAAAATAAATGGTGTCGCGCGTGATCGATGGTAACCGATTCGTATCCATATAAAAAAACACGACGGCGTTAAAGAGTGATGCCGATTTTTCACGTTCGTCCATTCGTTTCTCTCATTTTTTTATTTTCTCTCTCTCTCTCTCTCTCTCTCTCTCTCTCTGCCTCTCGATATCGATCGATTTCAGGGTATCGTCGAAATTACCCTCGCATTTTCTGGCTTTAATTTACCCGATATCGTTTCGTTGGAATTTTCAGTGAAACGATTTCTCGATTAATTCCTTAATCGCGTTTTACTCGGACATGTTTCGTCGACTTACGGTGTATATTCCGTTAATATTTATTCGCTCGAAAAATTGATTGTGGAAACGATTTAATTTTCCATGTTACTCGAACGCTCGAAATCGGTGCGTTAGCGACGAATCTCGAACGGATGACGCGACGACGAGTAAAAAATAAATTTAACGAAGAAACGTTGAAGCAGGATCAAATATTGATTTTAGCTGTTTAGTTAGTAACGTCTCGCGAAGGATCGCGTACGGAAGAATACGTTCGGCGAACGTGTTCGGAAGAAGGAGAAACAGCTGACGGAGTGTCGTATGAAATTTTTCAGATCAGACCCGAAAGGGAGCAGAAACGCAAACGAGAGAGTGTCGACGATGAGAGAAATCCCTCTACTAACAGAGTGTGGAAATTAACCGAGTGTTGAAGCGAGAGCCGCATTAACAACGTGTTATTAACGTCATGTAACGAACACCGCCAAAGTAATCATGGAGAAGGCCTGCAGCTTACGCTCGAGTAATCCGAGAGCTACCAAGGGTAAGTCGATTTTGACTTTTACCACTTGTTACGCTATCCTGTTTCTTCGACGATCGCATGCGCCTCTCTCTTCTATGTACGCATGTATACGTACCTATGATCGTTGCGCCAGCCAACTTCTCTTACATCTATACGTTCGCGTCGTAGTTCGAACGTGGCTCGAACTAACTTTGGTCCAACTATTTTTCGACGGTATCAAAACATTTTCCTTGGAGATTTTAGTTTTTTCCTCGTTTAAGAGTCGCTCGCGTATTTATTGTATTTCAGGCAGCCGTAGTAAGGCAACGTTAGTCGCTATACCAACGTTCAAATTCGATCGAAACTAATTCGTAATTAAGTTATCCCGAATAAATTGAAATTAAGTTGAAATTTGAATCGAGCATCGAAATCGAATTCAAACGGGGTTGAAATTTAATCCAAATTGAAGCAACAAATTTGCTTCTAATAGATATCGATTGAACGCGTTGCGTATCGATGTACCGCGTCATTGATTAGAATTTCGGCTATAATTAAACGTACGAATTAACTTGTTGTTACTTCGATCCTTATCCGAACGATAAGACGCAGACCGAAATTTTCTTCTCGTCGAGTCGAGGGTGTAACGATCGATCGATTCGGTCATCGATTCGTACACGATTCGAATCCGTGTACGACGAGTTTTATCCAGCGTGTACAAAGCTTAACAGTTGGAGCACGTACAGGAAGCGTTTTATACCTTTGAGAGACGGTGCAGCGAATCGAAGGGGTCAAAAACAGGTTCTCTCCATTTGTTCCGAGAAACAAATTAGCGAAACACGGACTTACGTGTCGACGATTCACTTTCCGTTTCGTTCGGTATCCACGATCCTCCTTCGATCCTCCTTCGATCGTAAAACAAAAGTAGCGCTCGCTTTCTTCGAGTCGTGTCGACTCGGAGAACGTTCATAGGTCCGGTAGAATTTCATCCGGTAACCGCGGTAGCGAGAGTCGTCGGAACGATTGACTTTCTCGGTTATTGGCTCGTCGAACAACGACACTCGTACTTCTCCGAGCGGATTGGTTAAATTTTTTTTATCGCGGTAAATCGAATCGATTCGTTCGGTCGAGCTTTTTCGACCGTGCTCGTCGAATGTCCCGATCGCGCTAATCGCGCGGAGAAAACGCGACGAATTCGTATTCGTATTCGTATTTATACGCGTTTACGCGATAAACAATAGAATCGAAAAGAAAGGATGCAAATTAGGAAGAAGAGATTTTTCGTGGAATCGAGGATCGGGAAGACGAAGTAGCTAGCGTAAAAAATAAATGCGAACAAAAGTGAATCGAAATAGGATTTCGTGGTCGAAGCAGCCACGGATCACGGAATTATTCTGTGAAAATTTAATGGCGGTCTGGGGAAGTGTCGTCTCCGACGGACTTTCGCGTGACTTCTCTTTATTTCGATCGTGATCAAGAGCGGCGAAGGTAACTCGGTTCGCTCGTGGCAAGCATTTTAAGCAGTGCTCCTCGATCGGCACGAGGCTATATACTCGTCTTGCATAATCCACGATGCACGTGCCGGTGCATAAGAACGCATAATTTTCCAACGCGTACGCAGAATGCATCTGTTACCATTGAAGCCTGGGCCAGCCTCTACGAATGCCATTTCTTGCTTCGACATTTTTTTTTCTTCCACCGATCGCTAGGATTTTCCATTTTTCCCCCTATAATATACATAATATCTCGTTTTATTTTATTCGAAGATGGAAGTCTCTCGAGTACAAATTCGTAGATTATCGTGCACGAATCGTAAACGCGAAAGATATTGAATGTGTACGAAGGGTTCAACCTGGAAGCGTTTTGTCCTCTGGGGATTAATATAGGAAAAAGGCGAGGGCGTGGTTCGATGGAAATTTTCAGTAAATTTCAGAGATCTATTTTAGGGAAAGCGAAAATTGACAAATTTTTAGCGAAAGGATTCGAAAGATTTTGTCGGAGTAAGAAAGAAACGCGTTAACGCTTCGAAGCCGTTTAATTAACCTGGCTCGATATTTATTAGCGTTCCGTGGCTGCTGGCCATTATGCTGGCCGTCTCGTTCACATCGAGTCACGCTTTATGACTATCAGCCATCCGTAGTTGGATTTTTCTTAGGATTCAAGGATGCAGATCCACGAGATTTGCGTATTCTCGGTCTATTTGTTACGTAGTCACGTACCGTGTAATCGCTTCTCTTTTCTGACCGGTATCTCGACCGTCGAAGCCGTTTCGAGACATTTTTTTATTCGAACCCGAACAGCGAACCAAGACAGTTTTTGCCTCCGTTAACGAGTTTTCACCGAGTACTTTGTACGCTTGCTCGGGAATCGTACGATTAAGTCGTTAACGACGTTTACCGATCTAGGTATTCGTTAGGTAATTACCATTTATCGGATACTTTGCTATCCTATTTTCTCGACTAAAATAATTATTCGAAAGGAGAAGAAATCGAAGGAGAGAGGCGGAAAAAGCGAAGATTTGTCGAAAATTAAAGGCAAAGTCCCTCGCTAGATTTCCCGTGGGTTTTGCCAAAGTGTGGCAGATACCTCGAGTATCGGATCCCTTTGGACGCTCTATACGACCTCCTACTGTTAGACGCGTCGAAGGATATCCCTGGATAGAGTAAAAAGTTAGTTTGTTCGGAGTTTTTTATTTTTTTTCGTATCACGGTGCCGTGTCCGAAAACGTTGATCGGTTCCAGCAGGTTTCGTCGGATCGATTGTTCGTTTCGCGGAGTCTCGTTTTCCAGCCGTGATCCGTAAATTCGCGAGCCGTCCGTCGCGTTTATTTCCCGCGGGTTCGCCGGTGTCGCAAGCTTCATCGTTTCAACAGCTCGACGATGTTGTTTCTTCTCTCGGCTAGCTGTTGGTCGTCGTCTCTTGTCTCTTCCGTCTCGCAAGGGGAATTCTATCAGCCGTGGCGGAAGAGCTGACTGCGCCGGAGTCGGGTCGAAATATCCTCGGGAATTTAACCCAGATGTTGTTTTTCTTGCGAGCTCCACGGCATTTCAATGAAACCGTGTCCCCGTAGGATCGCCTATTTTTTCGTCTATTTTTTCTTCTCGATTCCGCTCTTCGCAACTTCGCTGCCTTTCGTTCGCGCGACACTCTTAAGGGATTAGTCCGGCAACACCGTGTTCGTTATTCCACCGTCTTCTACCTACGGAATCAAAGATAAATCGGAATCGTCGCTTTTCCCTCGTTCCTTCGTTTGACCCTCCTAACGAATTCCTCGAGCCTCCCGATGGACGTAAAATGCGAACCTAAATAGGACGAAGCGAAAAAGAATGTTCGATCGAGACGAATTTTGGCTAACTTCTTTTCGTTACGTCGCCGCGAACCATTGTAACGTAGTTCCTATGTGCACGGAAATAACGTAAATAAGAAGGATCGTAGATTTTCGAGAAGGTCGGTGTGTCCCGTGTTTCGCGCAGCGGGAGGGTGTATAATAACATTTGTAAGGATTTGCAAATAGCGAAAGGGAAACGTACATGTTTGAGAGAGGTAATGGATAAGAACGAGATGTAAGTTGTAAGGTAGACGCGAACTCGTGCGGGAGACGTTGAACAAATACCGCTGTTTACGTTGAAAAGTATTAGATAAATTGTTTGTTGCTTTACCGCAATTTCTACTCTTGATTTTCTCGTTTATTCGCGTTTTCTATCAAGATTACTTATTAAGGAAAAGAAAATTTTGTCATCGCGATCAGAAATGGCGTACATCGTACGTCGTAACGAAGTTCTCGCGTTACTTGCGGTCGATTAAGGAGAATCGAGTTATTCGTGCCGTTCGATTCTTTAAAATGATCGTACGAGAGACAGGTTCGAGAAGGAAAGCGATGTCGAAGCTGGTTCTTCGTCTTTCTCGAAGCCGGTCAGTCACCCGGGAGAAGTGCATATATCTTTGTTTCCAAAAAATCTAAGACCAGTTCTCCGGCCGCGGGTTCGCCGGTGTCGCAAGCTTCATCGTTTCAACAGCTCGACGATGTTGTTTCTTCTCTCGGCTAGCTGTTGGTCGTCGTCTCTTGTCTCTTCCGTCTCGCAAGGGGAATTCTATCAGCCGTGGCGGAAGAGCTGACTGCGCCGGAGTCGGGTCGAAATATCCTCGGGAATTTAACCCAGATGTTGTTTTTCTTGCGAGCTCCACGGCATTTCAATGAAACCGTGTCCCCGTAGGATCGCCTATTTTTTCGTCTATTTTTTCTTCTCGATTCCGCTCTTCGCAACTTCGCTGCCTTTCGTTCGCGCGACACTCTTAAGGGATTAGTCCGGCAACACCGTGTTCGTTATTCCACCGTCTTCTACCTACGGAATCAAAGATAAATCGGAATCGTCGCTTTTCCCTCGTTCCTTCGTTTGACCCTCCTAACGAATTCCTCGAGCCTCCCGATGGACGTAAAATGCGAACCTAAATAGGACGAAGCGAAAAAGAATGTTCGATCGAGACGAATTTTGGCTAACTTCTTTTCGTTACGTCGCCGCGAACCATTGTAACGTAGTTCCTATGTGCACGGAAATAACGTAAATAAGAAGGATCGTAGATTTTCGAGAAGGTCGGTGTGTCCCGTGTTTCGCGCAGCGGGAGGGTGTATAATAACATTTGTAAGGATTTGCAAATAGCGAAAGGGAAACGTACATGTTTGAGAGAGGTAATGGATAAGAACGAGATGTAAGTTGTAAGGTAGACGCGAACTCGTGCGGGAGACGTTGAACAAATACCGCTGTTTACGTTGAAAAGTATTAGATAAATTGTTTGTTGCTTTACCGCAATTTCTACTCTTGATTTTCTCGTTTATTCGCGTTTTCTATCAAGATTACTTATTAAGGAAAAGAAAATTTTGTCATCGCGATCAGAAATGGCGTACATCGTACGTCGTAACGAAGTTCTCGCGTTACTTGCGGTCGATTAAGGAGAATCGAGTTATTCGTGCCGTTCGATTCTTTAAAATGATCGTACGAGAGACAGGTTCGAGAAGGAAAGCGATGTCGAAGCTGGTTCTTCGTCTT